TATAAAGAGATGTAACTAATATAGAGATAATTTTTTTTGAATATTAATGATAAGACCATGTCTCTGTTTTTATTAAAATTTAATTAAAATCTTTTATATGGAAAAGAATTACAACTTAAACTTCATATCTAACGATAGCAAAAAAAGAAACTTAGATTAGTTTATCTGTAGTCTAAACCAAAATATAGAGATATTTTTATATAGTTATAAATAATTGGTAAAAATAAATTTGTAATTATACTAATTAGAAAAGATGATTATAGAGGAAGTTGACTGTATATAACAGGATATAGTAACTTAGTAAAGTTGATAAATTGTTACACTTCCAAGTGGCAGGACAAAAGTTTAATTCCACTGGTGACAAAATTCGAATTTTGCAGAATGTAATATAGCCAGTATTGGGCTTGCTTATAAGTTTAGTAAAATTTAACTGAAACTGGACTTATAGGTTTAGTGGTTTAGTTTATAAATTCAATAGTTCAGTTTATAAGTTCAGTAGAGCAGACTTTTGGTTTAGAGCCTAATACTAATTATGGCAGACCATGTATAGCAGACTGTGTATAATCTGATAGATTAACTGATCTGTAGCTTTGGTTATACTAGCTTGTATTAAGAGGCTATAGAATATTAGTTTGATGTATAAGTTACGCAAAATCTGAAGAAAGCAACTAGCTAAATCCAAAAGCTGGAGTAGTGATTTGACCCTTCTAAAAAATCAACACCCGGGTCACCCGTCGAGTGGGCTATGAGTCACCTGGGTGAAAATCAGGTCAGTTATCCACTCGGGTCACCCGTAGGTCACCCAGATCACCTTCAATGGATCACCCGAATCATCTTTAACGGGTCACCCGAATCATATATAAACCTTCCTATTTTCTAACTTATGTTAAAGCTTTTAAAAACTTGATCAGGATCGGGATAGTGTTGCCTGCTGCAAAGTCGTAATTTAGCTTTACAGCTTATTTATATTTTAATTTATTAGATTACTAACGTCATATTACTTTATTTGCAGCAAGCAATACTAATCGGATACCCTATATTCAGAAAAAAAATGTAGAAAAAGCTAGTAAGCATTACTGTTTGCAATGTTATTTTTTAAATTAATTAAAATAATAATGCTCATTAACCCAAGATCTAATTTACTTCACTGATTACCGAATAAAAAGTATACCCTGTAGCTACCGGTAACTTCTTTGTTCTTCGAATTATTTTTACTGAAAAGTGTAATTGTAAGTACGTATGTATTTGGTTTTGTTTTATAATTCATTTTTATTTCCAATTCGGATAATATATGCAGTGTATATGTAATAATCCTGCTGTACTACCGTGCTCATGTGCAACAAATCTAAAGATTTTAAAGATTTAATAATTGCTTTTACTTGTTCTGGATATTTTATTTTTTACTAACGTTAAATATATTTGATATGTATATTATATAAGTTTATTACATATTTAGTCTATATTTAGTCCCAAATCTTACAATACAAGCTATTACGCTTAACAAACAATAATTTGCTCACTGTCTCAGGTGACAAGCGGTTTCTTTTCAAAGTGATTTGGTTTCTCGCATTGGAGAAAAGGCGCTTATTTGGAACTGAGGTGGCAGGAATTAATAAGTATTTACGAACTATTTGACTTAAAATAGGAAAAGAATTATGATTTTTATGCCACCAAGCGTAAACATTAGCAGTTTCAGATAAGACCTCTTCATTTAAATAGTCATCGATCTCAGGTTTTTATTTACTTTTTGACTACTACTGAAGATTTTTTTCATAAAACTAGGTGCGGTGGTTTCATGATAGATTTCTGGTTCATCGGTTATAGCCGTCTCTTTCCAAATTTGAAATTTGGCTCACAATTTACTAATTGTTTCAGTTTGTAAGTTATCAGGCCATGCTTTCATTAATTTTAATCGAGGATCTAGTAGGGTGGCTAATAGCTTAATATCTTCTGAATCTTGCCAGTAGTGCCACAAAGAATTATAAATCACTTCTCAAATCTTTGTGATTATGACTTCAGATGAGAATTGACTTTCTATATCATTATCAAACTCTTCACTGAAATCTTCATTTAATAACTCTTCATCTAGAGTTTGAAAAATATTAGGTAACACTTGATACGTTATAATAGTTACTTACAAACAGGGATGATGATTTTCTGCGATGATATTTATTTATTTTAAAAATAAATATTACCACAAAAAATCAACGTCTCTGCTTACAAATTGATTAACAAGTTTATATATTCACCATTATTAAAGTTATTCTTAGCAGATTTGTCAAATTCACCATCAGCAAATTCAAACTTTAATAATTTAATAGCTGGATTGACAATCGAAAGAGTAGTGTATTGAATTCCACTAAAATAGGTTGTCATTTCATCGAATGGCTTAAGTACTTGAACCAATTTTTCTAATAACTTCCATTCATGGTCTTTAAGCATGCATTGTTTTAACTTTTCAGAATCTTCTTTAGCGCCAGTTTCTTTTTGTAGAGGTAAAGTCACAGAAAGCCATTCGATTGCCGGACGTAACTTTAGGAGTCTCTTCCAAGATTGATATGAAGAATTCTAGCAGGTTTTGGAATCATTTATAGTACGTAAAATAGCAGATGTTTTTTCACATATTTCTACCTCATTGTCTTCTTCTAATTCAGGTAGATCGTTATCTATATTTTCAGAATTATGAAATTGTATTGGGTTTATACTAGTTGCCTAACAGCTTGCCAAGTTAACTTGTATCTGATCAAGACGTTGACATTGTTTCGAAGATTGAAAAAAGCTAATGAGCTTTTTAATTTGTTTAATATATAGATTTATAACTTTCAAAGCCTGTAAAACTGTAAGTTGGAGTGTGTGTTCAGTACAAGGTAAACGTTCTACACCATTCCAAATTTTAATTGCTTTTTTCATATTTGCGCCATTATCAGTTACTGCGCAAAAAATTTTACCAGCTAATTCAAACTCTTCAATTTTATTATCTAAAAATTCCTTTATACTTTCAGCTGTATATGGATATTCAATTTTTTTAATAGATAGAAGTACATTACGTACTTCAAAGTTAGGTGTTAACCAGTGAAGAGTTACTCCGATATACCTATGATTAGTGCAGAATGTTCACAAATCCGTGCTTATAGAGGCTGTTTCACAGGTAGTGTTGAGCAATTTTTTAAGGTCTACTATGCCTTTTTGATATGCTATATCAAGATCTTTTTTAATACACTTATAATTTGGTAGTTTAAATGCAAGATCAATTCATTGCATCATTTTATGATATCCCTTTCTATATACAACGTTAAATACTAGAGAATCAGTAATCAACCATTCAGCCATTACTCTTTGTAACGCTGATTGTCTAGATGCGTTATGCGGTTTTACTTGTTTAATCATGTCATTTATATTTAATTGTTGTTTTTTATCTGAATTTAGTGGTTCATCTGGTCCTAAGATCTTATGAACTAAGCGCAAGTGTGTTTTTATATTTCCAGTTGATCCATCATGCTTATAGCTCGTATTACACTCAGTTTCTGCACTTTTTCGAAATACAACTATCTTACAGACATCATTCTTACCCAACTCTTCAAAATATTTCCAGACATAGCTTTTTTTATTAAAACTAGGCAGTTTAGAAAAATTTATTCGAATCTTCTTTGCGCTTGGTTCTTCAGCTGGCTTATCGACGGCTTTTCTTCTGGTTACACTAATAGAAGATTCAACAACCTCTTGAACGTCATTATTAGGAACATGATCAACTTCAGAGATATAACCAGCTTCAGAGATGTATTCACTACTACTATCCATATTTTTTCAAAAAAATTAGTTATAAAATAGGTATTTTAATGAAATTTGATTTATTATAGTACACAAATTATCTCAAATAGAATCGTATGAATAATTAAACAAGATAATATTAATCTTTATTAAAAAAGGTCAGAACAAGCTCTTTATATATATAATTTTATTTATTTAATTTAATCTAAATTAGAATATTATTATCTTACTGATTCACTATGGTAATACTAATAATTATTTTCTTTTATGAATTGATCGTATGATTTTTAGATAATTAAGACTAAAAACGACATTATGTGTGAATCGTATAATGTTTCTTCAATGAGGGTTAAATATTGCTATGATGAGTTCTCCTTTAACCTGGCCTAATCATATGATTTTTAGATTATATTTTAATCACATCTGCATGAATTATACGATGTTTAATAAGGATTTAATATCGCTACAGCGAGCTCTGTATAGGTTTTCTTCTTTATATTTTCTATTCTCCTTATTGTTCAGATCTATTTCAGAATATTCACATGAATCATACGACATTTCAAAATGGGGATCTAATGTCGCTACGGCAAGTTCTTTATAGTTTTCTTCTTTATATCCTCTTTATTATTCAGATCTATTTCAGAACATCTGCATGAATCATACAGCGATATTTCAATGAGAATTTAATATAGTTATTGTGAGTTTTTTATATAGCTTTCCTTCTTTATATTTTCCATTTTCTTTATTATTCAGATCTATTTCAGTTAATTTATCTTTGCATTGCCCCTTTTTACTCCATATTCTCCCTTATGTGATATATTTACCTAATATGCCACACCTAATATTATTTTGCACATATATATGTACATAGGTACGTACGTATATACCTTTTCTTTATGCCATTTATGCAAGCATATTCATAGGTCTGTTATGCAGTATAAATGGTTAGACTACTACGTAGTAATATATAATCATTAGTTAGAATTCTTGGACGGCATTCAAATAATTAAATGGAAAATTTAGAAACTCTTTACTACTTACTTTTGGACTTAGCTTAATCGGTTAAATTTCATTTAGTGTCACCACTAAAGTCAAGTACGTAACCCTGTTTAAATTTTGAACAAAATCGCTATTTTTAAATTTATAGCGAATAATTTAAAGAATTTTTTTCTTTTTTAATTAAGTACCATAAAGGGTCATAAAAGATCCTCCATGAATTAGACCTGGACGAAAATTACAGAATCTATATTAATCAAACCTGGTTTTTTCAAATATCTAGACTAACTATCATAACTGCAAAATGTGCATATTCTTTAAATTTTTTGTTCATACTAAACCCGGGATCTATTATAGGTTTTAAAATCGATAGAATGTAATAGGCCTGGTCTTGTATATAACCCCTACATCAGATTAAGATCACAAAATGCATCTATAAAAGCAAATTTTGGTTATAAGAAGTTCGAATATTTAGGTAAATTTAACATTAAAATTTTATTAATTTTTACGCATATTTACAATTTTTAATAATATCTCTTATGGAAAGAACTTTTTATTTAGTAATTTACAATAATTATATATGTCGATATTTTTTGCAATCATATTTTACAATATCAATGTATCCAAAATTAAGCTTTCGCTTGAATGCATGTCTAGTATGCTTTGTTTAGTCTGAAAATTTGGCAATAATTATTTGGTCAGTTTTTTTTACCGGATGTTCCAAAATTACAGTTGTTCTTATAAATTTTAGACATCTGCTGAAAAATTAACCAAATTATTGTTTGACTGATTCGATAAGCTTGTAATTTGGCAGTGATTTAATAACCGTGATCTTCCTAAAAGTGCTAGAAGCATTTTAACACATCTATATCTTCGAAAATATTTGAGAATTTGACTTATATTATTTGTCAATCAATATCGAAATCACAAAGTGCTATTTAGAAAGATATGCATATTATGTATTACATAATCGCTCATTACCAATTATTCAGTCAATTTTCACCAGATGTCTAAAAATTTATGAGAACAGCTGTAATGAAAATAAAGTATTCCTCATCTTTGCGTATATTGCGGTCTTATAAATTTGCTAATCAATTATTTTTTTATTGACTGGTATCTTATTAGTTGTCTTATATTTTAAAGTTTTAAGTGAATTTTGTATGTATATACCCTAATGTTGGTAATAGGTTTATTAAGTGAATCTGATGGTTGACCCAATTATTGATTCATCATTGACCATCAGGTAACCCGCCATTGACCATCAGATGACCGGTGGTGACTCACCCGGGTGGTCATTATTATGACCTGGGTACCCGACCCACCTGTGGGTGACCAAGATGACACCCACCTGGGTCAAAACACTAAGCTGAAGTATATGAAAGCCCACATGATCGAAGTATTTAGCAAAAGTATTATAACAACTAGGCTGCCAGGCAACTAGAGGAAAGAATCACCATTCCAGACTATTTAGATTAAGAGTTTGAAAAAATCGAAAGAAGAATAAATAGTCTATATAGTAGATATTGAGTTTGAGTAAATTCTACAAAAACAGAAGTAATGGTAGTAGTTTTAGCTTGCAAGTACTTGTTTTCAGACTTAGCATAAATTACTAAAGTCTAGATTAGCCAGATTGTAGATATGAAAAGCTTTAGCAATAATGCCTTAAGAATAAATTATTTCTAAGAGAATAAAAAAAGCATTTAAGACTTTTTGATTGACAAATATAACAGAGATATACTAGTGATATAAGTAGATTGTGTTATAGAAGATTTAAATAGATAATTTCCTAGTCAGATTATAGATATAGCAAATAGTATAGTTCTTATAGTATAATACTAATACAAGACTACTTAAATAGACAACCAAAAGTTATATATATATAGCTAGTTGTACTTTTTAATATAATAGAAGCTTTATTGTGAACCTCTTTACTCAATACTTAAATAAAAAATCTTAGCTTCAAAGAGGCTAGTTAATAATATATATATATATATATATATATATAACAATTAATCTTAATTATTAGTTTTAATACTTAATATTTAGTGATTAATGATTATAACAAATTAAAATAAAATCAGATATGTATTATTTCACCACAATTACTTCAGCAACAACTTAGTTTATCGACAATTAATTCACCGATAAGTTCATTTTACCAATAATTTATTTACCAACAAGTTCATTTCATCAACAATTTATTTTTATAAATTACACTAATCTTAACTCTAATTTAGCCTGACCTTAATAACAATGATCAAAATTACTTTGTCTGAGAAATGAGCTGTCAGTGAATTAATTGTCAATAAAATGAACTTGTTGATGAATTAATTGTCGGTGAACTAAGTTGTCGGTGAAGTAATTGTCAGTAAAATAAGCACTATCCAATAAAATCAGATTAAACTAAAATTTTATTAATTTTTAAAAAAATTTAAAATTTTTTAGATGCTATTTTTTTTGTTTTTAGCATTAAAGGTTAGATTTAAAGTTAGAATTTATTAGAGTTTGGGCTCTATAGCTTAGCGGTTAAGCTGCCAAACTCTCACAGACTAGGTTGACAGTTCAAGTTAGGCTGAAGGCAAAATCTTAGAATTTTTTACTTTTATAACCCAAAAGGAAGCTATAATTGAATGTGGAGCCCTGTGGTTAAATCTAAGTGCAGGTACGAAACTAGAAAAGAAAATTTTCAAAGGAGGTTCAATTGTGGAGTGGTAGTATCACATATGATACTGAGTCATAAAAGAATCTGTTATACAAAGATTGTACATATCAGTCCTCGGTTAGGGGTGACTAAGGCAGTATCAACATCACTGTATCTAATTTGTGAGGTATTTGTTTGGGAGTGTGATATGATGGTAACATAACTGGAGTAGTGAGAAAAGTGAAGAACACAAGGATAATTTGTGGAAAAGAATTGGCTTAACTGAAATTAGAAGCACCTCTGGCTTCAAGCCACTTGGCCTATTAGGGAAAAACCCCATGATGACAAAGTAAGTGGGCTAAAACTCAGGGTACATAGTAATAACTAAAAATAACTAGATTCACTGGGCTGGTAATATATTGTACAAATAAAGCTTGCATATCAAAAAAAAAAAGGATACCAAAATTAATTAGAAGTATTATGGACTGCAAACCAAACTAGGTCTATATCCCTAGCACCTTGTAACCTAAAATATAAGGCATTGGAATACTATAGTTACTAAACAGTATCTAATCCATCAGTTTATGAAAGAGAAGTAATATAAAAAACTGCTATCTGGGAGTTACGAGATAACTTGTAATGCAACACAGCAAACTCGCACCAACACACAAAAGTATCTACCCAATGTGGTAACAGGAATTAGCAAGCATACTAACTAAACTAGGCGCTACTAATGGAGGTTTAACCTGAATCAGCATGGAGCTTACTAATAGGACTCACTTGAGCAGGCTAGCTAAAATTTACCAAAATTGAAAGTAGCCTAATTAGGCTACAAGGCCTTTCTATAAAGAGGATTACCAAATTTGAGAGCTTGAGTATAAGTGATATAAGTAATGCGAAGAATATAGTTATAGGGAAGTATATTAAAATAGGATTTGTGAAGGATGATAAAATACCAGGTGAGTAGGTTGATGATGATATACCACTTTGGGAGGTTTGAATTGCAGATAATTGGATTAGTGGCCAGTAGCAGATAGAGTTACCTATCATGCAAGTAATAGTTTCGGCCAGAGCATAGATTACCAATAGGATCCAGATCTGAGCTTAGTATACTTGATATATGTAATACAAAAAATGTAGCAGTATATATAAAAGTATTATTAATAAATAAAGTCATAAGCAAAATTCCACCTTAACACTAAAAAAAAAAAAAGTTAAGATTATTAATAAAAGAGTATATATTGATTTTATAAGCTTTAAGAATAAGCATGAAAAGTTCCTAATTTTATTTTAATTTGATTTCATTTTAATCTGCAACAATAAATATCAGCATTCTAATAACAATTGTTTTTTTTATTTAAAATGAGGTTATGCCTCTGTTTTTATTAATATATTAATCTTAATAGGCTATCAGCTACATATATTAACTTATCTAACTAGAACTACAAAGACTTAAACTAATTTATTTATATATAATCTAAATCTACTAAAGTGGTCCATACTCTATATATATTATCTAGCTTTTTGCTTTTCAACTAATTACTTCTAGTAATTACTATATTCTTCTAATATCTCATTAACACTAGACATAACTTTCAATTTGATATATTAGATGTTTACTTCTAATGAGCTCTCAATTTGGTATATTTGTAAATATGATCTACTGTAAGTTCTTTTAAGGTTCCTATTAATACAACTATAACTAATGAAAATGACCTTTTTATACCTCATATCTTAAGCCAAAAACTTGCTGTCTAGTTAGATTCAGTATATAACAAAGTTAGTATTATACTAATAGATACAGACTTTTTATATTTAATCAAGATTTATAATGCCTATTATTTTGTAAGTATACTTTTCTATTAATTTCCTTCTACTTATCTGTCTAGATACTACTAACCCATATCTCAAGTCAAGCTTCAGCTGCTTGTTTGCCAACCTCAGAACTTAGCATTCTTTTTTTAATATAGTGGTACTAGCTAACTAATTTGTACTTCCTTCTATAATATATTACCAGAACCTTATTTTATAATATTGCTTTAATGATCTATTTTGTTAAAGACACTATAAAATTTTTTAAATAACAAACAGTATTACTTTCAACTATAGGCTTTACATTATGTTACTAAAAAGAAAATCCTAATTCACTTTAATTTCCAACTTGAACTCTCATCTATTAGTTGAAGTTATATTATTATTAGTATATTCTGACTTTTTTCATCATTAACTTCTATATTGATATGATCAAAGCTCTAACTTGACACCTTTATATATACTAGATTTGCTAGCCTGCCTTTATGAAATTACCTTCTTTAGCTAGTTGTTTTATAGTATCAAAGATGCTTCTAATTTAGGTAATGCTAATTTTTTATTATAGCCTTTTCATATATTTACTATTTTTCTTACTATTTCAGTTTCAGTAGTATTATATTACTTTCTCAATTAAGTATTCAGTATCATTCCAAATTAGGACTAATATATCAATCTGTTAATTATTCTTCTAAACAAGTATTTAGTATCATTCTAAATTAGAACTAATGTATACAATCTATTGATTATCTTTCTAAGCAAGTATCTTAGAGATGTGACAAAAATCAGGTAATTTTTTAGAAAAAGAGAAGTGGTAAAAATTTTAAAATTATATATAAGGACCTAATCAAAATATATATTAAGAAAGGGGAGAAGAGTAAGCTTCTGATAAAAAAATCAGGTGATAAATGATACTGCTCTTATAAGTAATATGCAAAGATATTGGTATTGCTTTATATAGAGGTAAAGAGATGTTGTATTGTCTTTGAGTCACTCAACTAAAGAACTAATTCATATAATCTTTTACAACTTTAACCTTCTGTAACACCACTATCATACATAGTATCTGCACTTTATGATTGAGGCTTCTCTGAGAATTCCTATTTCAGAACTATATTTGCACTCTTGCACTTAGATTTTTTATAAAACTTTGCATCTAATTATAGCTCTATAAGGTTATAATAACAAATTCAAAAATTTGCTACTAGCCTAACTTGAACTGTTGATCTTGTTTGTGAAGATTTGAGAGCTTAACCAATAAGCTACAAAGCCCAAATCTAATAATAACAATTGTAATCCTTTATATAAACTATAATTTTGTATTTTTTTTAAAACTATCCTTTTTAGATCTAAGGCTTTATTCAAGTATTGTTAAATAGAAGGCTTATAGCTTATAACTCTAAGAAAACATCTTATATTAGAGAGTATATTCAGCTATATATATACTTTTGGTGTTTAATTTAAATAGTTTATCTATTTTATAGATTCTATACTATAAACCATATCTGTAACCCAACTATAGATATTATCTATTTAAACCCTTTGTAATGCAATCTTATTTGTATTATCAGTACATCTCTGCTATATATATCAGTTGAGAAGTTCTGAATTCTTAACCTATTTTCTATAGGATTATTTTATCTTTGAGATATCATTGCTAGAGCTTTCTATAATTACAATTTGGCTAATCTAGACTTTTGATAACTTATGCTGAGTCTAAAGACAAGTACTTATAAGCTGAAGCTACTACTATTATTTACTTATATTTTTGTAGAGTTTATTTAAATCTTAGCACCCACTATATAGATAATCAACTGTATTTCCAGTTATTTCAAACTTCTAATTCAAATAGTTCAAAAAGGCTATGATCTTTTCTAATCCTCACATTTAGGTTTTTTTTCTCTAGTTACTTATCTGGCAGTCTAGTTGATGAAGTGCTTTATTAAATATTTTAGTTTTATTCAGTCTTTCTATTACTTCCAGATAACATCCTTTATATAATACTGTTAAAAATCTGTGCTATCTTTCTATTTGGGTCTTGCCAAGTAGACTTTAGTCTTCCAATCTGCTAAATTTATTTAGCAGCTTCATTCGGATTTTGTATAATTTATATATTATACTAATATTCTACTACCTTTCAGTACAAGCTGATATAACTCTGTTACAAGTGCTTACCTAATAATATATAGTCTTCCAAAAGTATTCTGTAAATTTGAATTTTCATCACTAGTAATATTCAAATTCTTGGCCTATTACTTGAGAATGCAACAACTTACCAACTTTACTAAGTCATTACACCTTTTTATAATTTTAAATTAAAAACAATAACTTTAAAATTAATATTTAAAAAGTTTGCCAAGAATAATTAGATAATTTTTTTAATTAAAAAATGTTTTTTCAATTGATATATTTTTATTTTATAAGCAACTTAAATTTTTTTTCTTATAAAATAAAATTAAATACTATTATAATATAATCTTTACTTTTTTTTTATTTTGAATTTGCTGTATATAGGATAAGATTAGTTTATAGATTGTATCAAGATGATATTAATTTAAACTATTTATTATATCTTGTATAACCATCTAAACATAGTAAATCATCTTTTAATTTTCTATTTAAAAACTAATTTAAGTTAAACTACCATTAGTTATAGTAAGGAAAAGAGAGGATCCAAAATCCTTATTTTCAAATATTATTAAAAAAAATTTATTTAAATATTTTTAAAATTTTTTTTAGTGTTAAAATAACTACTCATTAGTCTGACTCAGTTTATTAAACTTTGAATCGATATCAGTTCAGTCATATAAACTATATTTAATATTGTTACTTTAATAAAAATATAATTAGCTATATATATAACTTTAGTTATTGTTTATTTAAAAGCTTCACTATATTTATTTTTATTTATTATATAGTTATTTACCAATTGTTATATCTAAAATCTATCAGTAGATTATCTATTTAAGCTTTAATCAACTTTTTGCTATTAGATATTATTCTTAAAAAGAAACTTGTTACTAAGATCTTCTAAAACTTTAAAGCAAACTTATACTATTATATAAAGGTTCTTTATCCTTGTGATAAACTTATTAGAATGGCATCTTTGAAGATTAAAAAAAAAAAAAAAAAAACTTATTAAAATGGCACATATTCTATATATGTATTATATTAAGTCCAACAACAAAAGCACTTGCAACCTTTTATTTCTGCTACCATTACCTATTTTGTATCTTTATAAAGTTTACCCAAATCCCAATACCTACTTTACAGACTATTAACTATATCCTCTAGCTGCTATAAACTTCAATTCAGATGGCTTAAAAAGGCTATAATCTGCTTTTAGTTCTTATAGTTAGATCTTTTTCTTCTAATTACTCCTCTAACAGCCTGGTTAATAAAGTGCTTTAGTTTTGTTTAATTTTTTAAATCTCTGAAAAATAGTATTTTATATAATATTATCAAAGATCTGTGCTATCTCTCTACCCAAGCTTGCTAAACAGGCTTCTATATTCCAATTTGCTGATTTTACTTAGCAGCTTCACTTGAATTTCCTATAATTTATATGTTACACTATTGTTTTACTGCTTCCTAATACAAGCTGATGTGACTTTATTACAAATGCTAACTCAATAGGATATAAGCTTTCAAATATTATTTATAAATTCGAATTTTGTCACTAATAGGATTCAAACTTTAGTCCTGCTGCTTAAAGAATGACAACTTACTAACTTTACTAAATTACTATACTCCAAATATTTTAAAATTAAAAAATATAAATTATAATATATTTATAAAAATTTTTCAAATAAATTTGCTTAAAAAAACATACAAATTAAGATAAATTTTTATAATATATAATTTATTAAATTTAAATTAATATTAATTTTAATTAAAAATTTTTAATAACTAAAAATTGGTTAAATTGATCAAATTGGTTTATTTGTTAATCCTGAATACAAATATAATAAAGTATACAAAAATTTATCTTGATTATAAAAAAAATTTTTTTTATTTACAATATAACTTATACAACTAGTTTTCGTTTTAAAATTTAAATTAATAATATTATTACTATTTTATTAAATAAATTTAATATATAAAATTTATTATTTTAAAATATATAATATTACATATAGATTTTATCTACATGCTATTTTACAAAACAAAAATATAGCTAACTATATATACAATCTTAATTATTATTTGTTTAAAACTTTACTCAATTGAATTACTTACTAGTTGGTATACCTAAAATTTGCTTTTTAAACACATCAATCTTCTATAACCTTGTGAATTATGCGTTACTAACACCAATCCAAAACCCCAATATACGTACAACCAGTCAATCTTTATAAATACTTTATTCTTAAACTTACTAAGGCCACTTCAATACCTATTTTATAACTAACCTTAATTATCAATTTATTTTAATTAATATAATTTTTGTTAAAACTATTAAAAATGACAAATAGATAAATAACCGACTAAAACGACTTAGCCATATCAAAATTATCAACTCGGTTAAACTTATAAGTTTTTAATTGACTAAGCCAGCTTAGCCATATCAAAATTATTGACTCGGTTAAGCTTAGAAATTTTTTGATCGACTGCAATCACCACACCCGCTGCTTCTTGCTTTTATCAAAATAATAACCAAGAAGGCTTTTTTGTGAAGGATTAAGGCTCCCGAGGTATTGGAATAAAGTATTGTCATCTCCGATAACTGAATATACTGCAACAAGTGTATCAACAACAGCCTTACGGACCTCTGATTTCTGATCATTAAATCCCTAAGACAAATAGCATTAATTGATAACGTATTAATTGATGAATTACAAATAATTCGGGAAACTTATTCAATAAGTCGATACTAATTTAAAAAGACCAACCTTAATTGCTAATGGGATAATTCTGCCAGTTTGTCTTTCTAGAGACTTTTTATCAAACCTTTTAACTAGTAACGATAATGCCGCAAAGGCGTATTTTTTCATAGATGTCCGAGAACTGGAAGACATATTATCACCACCAGGAGAACTTAAGCCCAGTGAACTACCAAATAAAGTTGATTCCATTATATCGATCAGTGCGTATAAACCAACTTTGCAATCAACTTCTTGTATAAAAGTCTCCAAAATCTCTTCTGCTTGACCACAAACCTACAAAATTACAATTATTATTTAAGAAATATCGTTTTTGCAATGGGAAATATGATCAAAAAATCAATTTACGTTGGCTGATGAATCAGAGCTACATTCTAATAAACTTCGTAAAACTATTCTTTCAGAACCATTAATGTAATCTGGCTGATTAATAAGTAATTGACCAAGTAACATAACTGCATTCTCCCTTAATTCAGTAGCCTATTAAAAGAAATAAGAAATGAGTATTTGATGCTTTGAAACCGACTTAAATCGTTAAATTAAAATAAACCTCATCAAAATCGCTCAGGAATCCTATTAATGCTATTATTAATTCGGAAAATCTATCTCCATTTTCCCAGATATCTGAAGCGGTTTCCATCTTAGATAATGGTGTTTCCTTAGATAATCTAGCCAGCTTACGGAAAAGACTTATATCTACATCATGATTATTAAGACGTGCTAAGTGAGTAGCGAGCAATAATCGCCTCTCTTGAACAGAAGCTGGAAGTGGTGGTCCTGCCTGCATGACTAAAGGCAATGAATTATGTTAATTGCATGTTCAATCATTTTTAAATCAGTGTTTTAAACATTGATGCGTACATTCACTACGTTTTAAAGCTCTATCACGAGCACCTGGTAATGCCATTTTTACTGAAGAAGTTGGGGATTGTGTTTGTTCCACAGAAAGTGTTCCATTTATCTCTTCCGTTGGTTGAATTATTTGGGAATTAATCGATCCGTCAGCCTTTTCAGCATTTGACGAAATGGTTTGAAGGTTTTCTGGTACCTGCTCTGAAAACGATGAAACGCCATCGTTATTCATTCGAGGCGAAAATTTCTCCGTTGGATAATACATCTCTGAAGCTTCAGACTCTTGTATAGTAGTTAAGACTTTTTCATTTCCATTAAATCTTTCTTCTGGATTTAAGAAAAATGGATTAATGTTGCCAGTTAAAGTATTAGAAAGATGTTTCAATGTATCTTCCGAAATAAAAATGCTCGTCGGTCGACTTGGTGCCATATCACTCAAGTCATCTGCAGTGTTCGCCTTTTAAAACAAAATAATATTAATTTATATGATATGATACACTAATAATGTTTTTTATATTTAATAAAACTTACTACATTTAATGTGTGTTCCTCCATGTCTAATTTTTCTACAAGCTCCTTTAAGTTAGCTATCTCAGGATCTCGATAATCCAGGTCGGTAACTCCAAAGTCCTGTGGTGGCGGTGGAAGCGAAACCACACGTCCCACTGGTTTATTCATAGATCTTTTTTCTCTATGATCTTTTTCCAGTTGATTAAGCTCAAATTCGCTAACACTTTCAAAATCTTCCTCATGGTCTTCGCTAAGATGCTCTCTGTCATTTGACACACTATCTCTGCTCCACATATCATTCATGTCGTTATCTTTGACGTAATGCCTTCCCCTATCATTCCACTCTAAATCTCTTCTTCTACTTCTATCATTGATCTCGTATCGAGAATCTTTACGTTGTTGCTGCATTTCATATTCACGTTGTTGTTGCATCAATTCAAGTCGTTGTTGTTGCATTTCATATTCACGTTGTTGTTGCTGCATTTCATATTCACGTTGTTGTTGCATTTCATATTCACGTTGTTTTTGCTGCATTTCATATTCACGTTGTTGTTGCTGCATTTCATATTCACGTTGTTGCTGCATTTCATATTCACGTTGTTGCTGCATTTCATATTCACGTTGTTGCTGCAGCAACTCAAGTTCATGTTCGCGCTCACGCTTTTCTAATTGTTCACGCAATCTAAGCTCTTTTTCACGTTTTTGTCGTTCGAGTTGTTCAAGTTGCTCTCTTTGATATTGTTCTTGTAATTTCCGTTCATATTCTCGTTTTTCTCTTTCGCGTTCTCGCTTTTCAATTTTCCGTCGTTCTTGCAACTCCAATTCACGTTCAAGTTCACGTTGTTGTCTAATTTCACGCTCGCGCTGTTCAGCTTCACGTTGCTTTTGTAACTCCAGTTTACGTTCATGTTCACGTTGTAGCTCAATTTCTCGTTGTTTTTGTAATTCTAACTCGCGTTCACGTTCGCGTTGTTGTTTAAGTTCACGTTCACGTCTTTGCTTTTCAAGCTGTTCTTGTTTTTGTTGCTGTAATTGTCGTAACTGTAATTGTTGTTGTTGAATCACTTGTTCTTCATGCAAACGTTTCCGCAATTCTTCTTGTTCCAAACGCCTTTGTTGCTCTTCCTCCTGCCTTCGTTGCTCTTCCAATAACTTTTCTTTTTCCTCTTCTGTAGCTTCTTCCACAGCTTCTTCTAACTCTTCTTCCCATCCAACTACATTGCCAACAGCATCAATAATTTTATTATCAAAAGTAAATAAAACTGTCTCAAAAAGGTCTGGATTTAATTTATGCATATTAATCAATAAATCACTAAGCGGTTTATAGTTTTCAGAAGTATTTTTCATCATGGATACCATAGGAATAAGGCGATTTGCAAGGAGTTTATATTTTTCCACATCACCTAGAAAACCACTCAGTGTCCCATTGTTTTCAACTTCTTCCAATTTAGGTACGGTAATCTCATTTAACCAAATAAGAATTCCATTAATAATCTTACGCTTTTGAGGTTGAGTAAATGAAGCAGGCTTTTTTTGCGAAGTTCCGGAGTTATTTAACAACAACAAACACTTATTAAGAGCTGCTAATGCTTTATTACTACCAATCCCTGATTTCAACCCAGGAAAATATGATTGAATTATTTGAGATTGTTCTGGCTTATTTTCATCATTAGCACTTAAAATAAGTTTTGGTATAAAATGTTCTAGTTGTATAACTTTTGCTAGCTCAACAAAGATACTTGGATCCATAAACTTTTCAATTACTTTTTGATCTGGATCGTTCAGGAAGTTGATCAAAACTGAACTTAACTCTTCATCAGGTGGAAGTAGTGATTTTTGTTTCGCAGGTGATGATTCCAACGATCGTTTTACTATTAATTGTGCTACAACTAGTAAGCCTTCAATACGTGTCGAACACTCACTATGTTGTAATTGTTCAATAACCGTCAATTTTCGTGGAGGTTTTGGAGTAGGTGGAGTTTTTGGAGTAGGTGGAGTTCTTGGAGTAGAAGGTGCTTGATTCGATGTACCACGTTTTGGTGTTAATTTTGGGCTCAATAAGTTACTGGAAGTGTTACTGGAAGCGCTTGCTGAAGATTTGGATCTCGTCATGGGCGGTGCGGGTGATTTAGCACGTATATGAGAAAGATTTTGAGGTGTAAGTTTCGATGATTCTTTAACATTTTTCGAAGGTGATTCAGGATGTAATGAATGAATATCATCTACACTATATCCTGTGGATGGAGGTCCTTTTGATTTACCCACACTCGATGATCTGGCACGTCCTCGTGGAGGTACAGGTGTTGTTGGACGAGTTTTAGTAGGTGTCGGCAGTGGTGTCGCCAGTGGTGACATTACTAGAGTTTTTGGCCGATCGCGTTCCAATTGTTTTTTCACAGCTGGTTCTAAATTTTTCAAAATCCTAAAGATGTTTGAGCCAAATTAAGTTTTTTTTTTTTTTTTTGTGTGTATGTATGCGTGTGTGTGTGCGCGCTCAAACTTTAAAAGGTCGTAAGAAATTGACATACTTTTCTCCTCTTTCTGACCAGACCTCATAAAACGTCCAAAATACGTCCCGGCATGTTTCTCTCACTTTAGAATTTGCATCAGTTAGGCCTTTTCTTACACATTTTTCCAATAATTCAGCACCACCAGTTCGTTCAATCACATCTTTTCTATCACAATGTGATTGAATTACAGTTTTTGCAAATCCAATAGCGAAGCTTCGAAGCTGCATGTTTTTTTCTTCCATTGCATGCCAAATTTGATTGATAAGGCGAGTATGATATGACGTATGTTTTAATAATGCGTTTGCTGAATTAGCAGCTGCCTGTGCAACAATTTTTTTGGCTGAAGAAGTCATTCTGATGAGATTAGCTAGTAAATTGTCCGCAAACGGATCGATAGCGGGTCCTAAGTGTGTTGCTAAGTCTTTGATAAGACCAGCACTTGCTAAGGTAAGTGTTGTACGCAAACTAGAAAGCTATTTAATTTCGGAAACAATGTTTAAATTATATTATGCCGTCAAAATTTAATTATAATTATAAATAATAATAATAATAATGATAATAATAAAGGAAAAGTACTCTATCGAAATTTAGCATACCGATTTCAATATGCCATCCATCAATAATTTTATTCCATTAATAAATTGTTCAGGAAAACTTGTATAGGCGTCTCCCCTAGTCAGTGAACGTAATCGATTTATGCCACGTTCACGAGCCAACCAATTTTGTTCTGATTCTTTCCCTTGAAAAGAAGATAATAGAGTTTGGAATTCTCTTTCTAGTTCTTTTGCGCTATCAACCTAAATACAAAATATAATTGATTCATGAATCATTTATATGAGGATTTTAATTAGCATTTACTCACGTTTATCACACCAATTTCACTATCAGCAGAACTGGTAGGTCTAACTAATGAATCTATGGATTTCGCAATTTCTTCATTCCCTGTTCCACTACTAAAATAATCCTCTTCCGTTATTTCAGTTCCAGCATCTGTGTGATTATCGGTATTATCGTATACACTATTACGTTCACTATGCCCATCACTTGATGGACTGGTCACAATTTTTGAAAGTATATAATCGACTATTCCAGAACGAATTGACTGTTCTTTAAGTTCACGCTTTAAGTCTGATTTAGCGTGCGATGCGGCACCACTATAAATTAAACGCATATGAAAAAAACATGTGAGAAGGATAGCATACTTTTATAAAAATTCAACTTTTTTTTATTCTTACTTGAAGAGTAATATTACAGTATCTTTTGCCGTTTCCCTCACTTGTTCATGTGGATCTTCGAGCAGCTTAACCATGTATGGTACCCAATGTCTTATAGGAAAATCTGATATTTTTTTTGAACATACAGCAATCCATTGTAAAATCTATAAAGCATACAAACCATTCGCATCAAAATTAATAAAGTAATTCGATAAATATAAGTGTTATTCTGATTTATATCATTATAATTATCCACCTGCTCACGAACTCTCCATTGTCTATGTCCAAATGCAGTGTCTTTTATAATGGTAGATAATGCAGTTATAATATTCGCTCCACCATTCATATTTGTCGCTGATTCATACATAGTTAACAGTACTTGAAGCGCATGTTCTCTCGTTTTATCTTTTGCATCACCTAATTTATCGATTACAGATGGAGCAAAAGCCACAATGACATTTTTAAGTTGAGAAGGATGTGTTTCCGCTATTAAAGAAACGAAGGGATTTAAGCAAGTGAGTGATGCGATGGACACTGCTATTTGTGAACCCTTCAAAGCATCTCTGAGGGACGGTACAAGTTG